CCACGGTGACGCTCTAACTCGGTCTTTATACGTCCTGCCCATGAGATGCTACGTGAACCCCGCCTCCATTCGGCACCACGGGCCTACGTCTGCCCGTACGCACCAGGGGAGAGGGGGGCATTCAGGCCCCGTCCTGCCCAGCCCGTGGACACCTGCTGGAGGCACGGGCCTCTCCCACGGGCAGGAGGCGCCAGGCCACAGCTGGCTCTGGCTCCTCCCGGCCTCCTGCTGACCCCTCATTGCAGCTCCTCTGATGCCAGCGCCTCTGCGGTGGCCCCGGGAGGCCCCCCTCCTCCCATACACACTATCTATTCTCTGGGGTGATTTGCCTGGTCACCCCACTCACTTTCTGTTCAGTGGTGAAGTCCAGCTGTGTCTGCCCTGCACGGCTTCAGAGGACAGTGCCACCCAGCGCACCTGAACCAGAAACCCCGCACACCGCAGCTTCCTGATCCAGCGTGCCAGGGCCCCAAAGTGCAGATTCCCAGGCTGTCCTCCAAGCGGCTGGGTTGGCTGGGAACCTGGTCTGCACTGAGCCACCCCACGGGAACCCTGTGCTTGAACCTGCCGCTGCAGGCACCTCAGGTGGGGTCTGAGCTCACCAGCAAGGGGTTGTAGGCGCCACAAGCACCGAAGGCATCCTCGTCCCTCAGGTACGCTGGCCGGGACATCAGTCTTTCCAGCATAGACACGTTCAGCCCGTAGGCCATGGCCAGTCTGGACTTGATGACTGGCCCGAGCTGCATGGGGTCTCCAGCTAGGACTATCTGTGACACACACAGACTCAGCCACGGCCGCGAGTCAGGGGTGGGAACTGGCTGGCTGGGGCTCGCGGAGAGCAGGCCGATGGCTGGGAGGTGGGCGCGTGGTGGGAACTGCCGTGCACGGTGACAGTGGCTTTGACAAGGACAGCAGAAATGGAGAAAACACAAGCAGGGTGCAGACACGAGCTCCCTTACGGGTGGCCCCCGGCTTCTCCCATCTCCCTTCGCGGGCTCCCTAGACTCTGCCCCATCCCCTGGAGTGTCTGCTGAGCCCTTGGCCCTTTTGCCTGGGTGGTGCCCCAGGCCTGGACCCGGCCATGTGTCTGGGCAGTTGCCCGGGCTACATCCCCGCTGGACCAGCCTGCCCTGCTCTGTCGCTGTGTGGCCTCCGTGCTTGGCCATGGAGGTGACAGAAGGTGGGATCCAAAACATCTCTCCTTGAGGAAGAGGGGGAGGGAGTTCACCACCTGCCCCAGGCCGGGGGACGGGGTGGCCAGGTCCTGGGCGGCAAGCCAGGGCGACCCTGGACCTCACCCCATGCCTCTGCACGCCCAGCAGCTCTCACAGCTGTCACGCGTGAGCGTGGAACAGAAGCGTCCCTCTCCTCCTGGTCTCCCGCTGGAGCCCGTGACCCGTCCCCCAGAGCCGCAGGAAACCAGGATGAGACTGGCAGGGTGAGGGACAGGCCTCACCTGGCCGTTGAGGTCCGAAACCAGCCCCAGAGGGATGAGGCATTCTGGCTCGCTGGCTTGTCCCGCTTCGTCCACAAACACGTGTGTGAAGTGACCGACTCTAGAGCCAAAGGCGTTTTAAGTGGTCAGCCTGCCAGTGTCCGCCCCGAGGCTCGGCGGGCCAGCCTGGGGAGGGGGCACCCACGCAGGCCTGTCAGGAGCCCAAATGAATCCCTAGCGGCAGCTGGACTATGCACCCAACATGTGCTCTCGTCTGGAAAGACGCGGGGACCCAGGCTAGGGGCTGGGGTCTGACAGTGAGCCCAGAAGTGCGATGCTGCTGAGCGGCTGTGGGACCTTGCACAGATCATGTCACCTCTGTGCCTGGGCTTCCTCAGCGTATTGGGTGGAATGGGGTGAGCTGGTCAAGGTGGAGCCCGGCACGGGTGACGCTCCCAACACGAGGGCTACTGCCTCGCCTCCCCGTTTCTGCCTCAGGCCTCACGCGTTTGGCCGGGGACCAGCCTGACCTTCCACTCAACGGGAGCCCAGGGGACCATGCAGAGCACCTCGGGGCACGGGCAGCCCTTGCCATGTCAGCACTGTCCCCCGCCTCCTGGTAATGCCAGAGCAGACTGGGAGCAGGGACGCTGCTCCAAAGCCACAGGGCAGGAGCTGTAGGACAAGCCCTGGAGCTCTCGCCTGAGACGGAAGTCCCTGTGTCAGAGACCCGCGGGGTCCCTGCTCCTGTGGGCCCGACCTCTCTCTTTCCAGGCTCTTGCTCGGCTGATGACACCCACTGACTCCCTACCCCGGGTAAGACACGGGGACTGGCACACTTGTTCTCTACTTCACATCCCAATTTCTGCTGAAAAATTTAACATTATGTATCTTTCTCAGACTGTGAGCACTAAAGCTTTCAATTTTGTATCAGCTGTTTGGAGTTACTCCTGTCAGACACAGCAATGCTCCGTGTTCACCCCTTCTCAGCTCCCTGCAGCCCCAGCATCCCACCTGCCACAGGGTGGGCCCAACCTGCTCCTGCCACTGTCCCCGGCCCCTCCCACCCCTCCCCCAGATGACCTCCTTCCTGCCTCATCGTCCACCCCTGGGGACCCTCTCCCGTGTGTCTCTGCACAGCCCTCACGTTCCCGACTGGCTCGAGCCGGTGCCATCGGCCCCCCGTCCACAGAAGCTCCGAGGACATAGCCCGCCGCGTGTCCCCGCCCCGCGTGGCGCTGACCTCACTCCTATCTGGTAGAAGAGCCCGGCGCTGCTGCAGGTGGTGACGATTATCCTGAAGCGCGAGGCCCTCCAGATGTCCTCCCCGTCTTTGCAGTACGGCTTGACGGCGTCGAGGACTGTCTGGGGGGCAGGCAGTGTATCTCTCAGGTGTTCAGCATGCCTTTGACTGCACGTCATCGCGAAGCTGAAGGGCATTCTCAGGGGCCGTCCCATGTGGACTGCAGAGCCGTGAGCACGGCATCGCTCCACAAGCAAAGCGGGGACTTGCGATTTCCCTCAAGGTGCTGGTAGCCAAACCCACGGGACAGCGTCCGAGAGAGACCTCGCACTTGGGGTACAGGGGAGGGGAGCCCAGCACGGGGCGAAGCCGCTGGGGATGCTCTCATTGGCCCCACCACCTAGGCACCGGGGACAGCCGTTTCCAGGGCTGCGATGCTCACCTCCTCGAACCTGCAGGTGGCATTCACCCGGACCATGGCCGCCGGCCGCAGCACCTGGCTCTCGTGCAGCCGCAAGCACACGAGGTCGGCGGCGCTGTTGGAGGGCGCACACACCAAAATGCGACTGTCTGGCAAGGCGTGGTACACCTGTGACCAGGGCACAAGGGACAAAGGGACATGTCAGCTGTGTGCGCCGACTCAGAGTGGGAAGTCTGGCGCCTGCCCGCACCAGCTCGCTGTGTGGGCCCCACACGCCTGAGACTCGGGCCCCTGGTAGCGCAGGGACAGCTCTGTCCACCAAGCACACGTGCCCGCACAGCGTGGCAGCGGCTGGGGGGGCTCTGCGCTCCCCAACACCCAACTGCCTCCCGCCCCCACCGGGTGCCGGCACACGCTCCCTGCTAACTCGCAGCTGACACAAAAATCCCAAACACGCAGTGTCCCCACGTACTGCAGCCTGCAGCGTGGCCACCGGAGCCACTACACGGGGACCCCTTTGCCGCAGGGGAATTCTATGACGTGACTGAACGCTTACTGGTCTAAAAACGAAGAGACGCCTTTCTAAACCCATGAGCCAGGCCTTTAAAGTCCTACATGTCACGGACGACAGAAAGTAGGCTCAGCTAAGCGTGAGAGAATCTAGTTTCCAAGCTCCTTCTAACTTTCCAGTTCCAGTTTACACTGACGCAGAGCTTCTGACACGGACACGCCGCAGAGCTCAGCTGCCTGTCAGCCGGGTGGCCCCTCGTCACCTGCAAGACCGCCTCTATGATCGTCACCGTCTTCCCAGTTCCTGGGGGTCCAAAAAGGATATACGGAAGCGGGCGGCAGTCACCGCTCAGGATCCTCCTGACGGCCAGCTTCTGGTTTTCGTTGAGCACCAGGTTGAAGAATTCCTTCTCCCTCGCTCCTGTGTCTGAGGAGAAGGAACGGGTTAGGCAGAGGGGTGCAGTCACGGGGCACCGGTGCCCCAGGGCTGGGTGGGCAGGAGAGCCAGCTTCTCAAGTGGCCTCCGGCGGCGGCCCCGTGCAGCCCCCGGCATACGCACCCAGGGCACTCGTCCCAGCAGCAAAGGCCCCCATCCCCGGCATGTCCTGGGTGGCAGCCCGCTTCTCCTTGGTGGCGGCCTTAGCTTGATCCTTTACAGCTCTCCTATTCTAGAAATAATCATTAAAAAGGGCTTAAAAAAGCTTTGAGCTTACACAGGCTGTTTAGAGTAAACATAATTGTCCAACGTAATATTGGCTTTTTTATTGAACAGCTCTTCGCATGTGTCACAGGCTGTGTCCTCTCGAAATCACAATGAAAATACAGAGTATCTGATAAAAAGCTGCTAAAAAGGTTTTTTTTTTAAAAGTTACCTTTAAAAATAAGTTTTGTGACAACACGGGAACAAAGGATCACATTTCATCTGAGCCCACAGCGTCCTCTCTTCCTGCCTCCACGGGCGCGGGTGTAGGCGGAGGCAAGTCCAGCACCCTCTGGGTGAGAAGTGTGCCCTGAGCAGAGCCGCACACGCCTCCCAGCTCACACAAGGTGCCTGTGTTGCTTCGTCAGCCGCGTTCGAGGCCCTGCCCAAGGACTGCAGCATGGGTGTCCACAGCTGGCTGTGTCCTGGACCCACGGGGCTGTTTCCCAACCTTCCCATTGCGGACTTTACTCCTGGAATTTACCCTTGAGAGTGATCACGTGGTGCAGTCACGTGATCACTCTCAAGGATAAATTCCAGGAGTAAAATTGTTGCACTGAGTTTTCTTGTTAAAAATTTACACATATCGCTGAATTTCAGTCCAGGTCACAGCAATGTTCCTTCCCACTACTGCGTGACTTTGCAGAGCAGGACCGGCACACGGTGAGGTGCACACTTAGTGTAAGATCTGACAAGTTTCCCCACGTGCTCACTCCGCAGCTGGGACGTGGCCGTGCGCCAGGCCCAGCACCCACTGCCATGGGCCGGGCCCCTTTGGGCCACGCAGTATTGGTGTGAGGGCGGCTCTGTTGCTGGGGAGCGGCCCATCACGAGACCCACACGGTCTGCTGTCTGGACCCTGTGGGTGACAGCAGGCCACTCCCTGTCGGGGCTGTACAGAGCCAGCTCTCCGAGCCTCGAGCCTCAAGCACGCCTCGTTCTCCAGGGCCGAGTGCGGCGGCTGCCAAGCGTTCCTACAGTTGCATGTCTTTTGTCAGACTTATCTCCAATGTTTAAAACATAAAACACATGGATGCTATTGAACGTATTAAAAATTCAATTCTACCAGCCCACCTGTACGGGGAGCTTGCTGTGGACGGAGCCTGCAGGACTGGAAGCTGCTCTGGGTGAGTGGGCGAGCGGCCGCGAAGGCCTGGCACGCGCTGTGCGTGACTGCAGCCTCACAAACAGTGCACACTCAGGCTACACTCAATTTATAAAACACGAGATTAAATGAAGCGCAAACGGAAATGAAGCCGTCGAGGGATGGGGTGTGAGATGCACGGGGCTGCTGACGGCGTAGCGTGGCAGTTTCACGGCAAGTGCTTTTCTGTAAGCAGACAGTACACTTAGCAATAATGGTGAGGAGCAAACACGTAAGCAGTGATACGTTTATTACCACACACCACACGCTGTACACAACCGCACGTTGTACACAACCGCACGTCCGCCTTTATGCTGGCGCAGGGCAGTGGGTATCTTGCACCAGCATTTCCGTCACGTGCGTAACGTACTGCACAATGACACTGTGGTAGCTGTCACCAGGTGACAGGATTCATCCAGTTCCGTTATCATCTCATGGGCCATCGTATGTATGGTCCATGTTAACTGAAACGTCATGTGGCACACGGCTGTATGTGTTTGTATTTATTTATTTCTTAGGCAACCCTTGGTTGACCTCACAGATTACAAGGACCTTGTCAGCTTACAGTCCCTTATTTTTTTATTTTTTACGCCTACAGCACCTCATCTTCCTAGGTGGTCTCCCATCCGAGTACTCACCAGGCCTGACCCTGCTTGGCTTCCGAGATCAGACGGGATCAGGCGTGTTCGGGGGGCGTGACCATAGACTGTGTTTATATTTAAAAGTGTTTCTCACAGCTTTCTTTTTCATCCCATTTGACAATCTCTACCTCTTAACGGCAACATTTTGAGCATGGACATCTAGTGTGATCACGGATGCTGCTGGACTGAAACCTATCACCTTTCTGTCATCGCATGTTTTAGAGCCTGTTACAAACTCCACGATATAGTTATTTCAACTTTAAAAAGTCAGTTACCTTTTCCCAAAACTTGAAAATGTTACCGTAAGAACACATGTCATCAGACGCACACGCTCACACCTCTCTGAGGGCCCAGTGCGGCAGTGCCAGCTGCGGGGACAGTGCTCCCAGAGGTCCTTGGCGGTTACTCCTCTTGCATGACTGAGGCCTGATGCCCATGCACTGGTGGCTCTGCACCCCCAGCACCGGCCCCCAGCACTCTGCTCCGACTCTGGGGCTGTGGCTATGTTGGTGTCGCGTCCGGGAGGGACAACGTGGCACTTGTCTTCTGTGACTGGCTTGTTTCACTCAGCATAACGCCCTCAAGGTGCATCCATGTTGCTGCACGTTACAAAGCTTCCTTCTTTTGAAAAGTCCATGATCTTTTAAAGAGATTAAAAAAAAGTTTACGCACATATTTACCGTTTCCAGTCCTGTTAAGTCCTTGTGCAGGTCACGTCTATCTGGGGCCATTTCCTTATGCCTAAAGGACATCGTTCCTCGTGGGGGCCGGCTGGTGTGAGACCCTCTCATTCCCCACTTCCCTATGTCTGAAACGCTGCGTCATCCTCACTCTTGGAAAAAAGTGTTTACTGGGCACCAAACTCCAGGTTTTCTCCTTTTGGCTCGAAGATGTCACCCCCCGCCTTCTGCTCGCTGTGAAGTCTGCTGTGTCCTTATTTTGGTTCCTCTGTATCTAATGAGACTTTTTCTGTTTTTAAGATTTGCTCTTTAGTGAGTTTTAGGAATTTAATTATCATGTGCCTTGGTGGTTTTGGTCCTGTTTCTTGTGCATAGGGTCTGCTGAGCTTCCTGGATATGTAGACTTATAGTTTTCATCAAAGTAGAAAAATTTCCAGTCATGGTTTTTCTAATTTACCCCTGCTCTCCCCTGCAGGACTCCAATCACAGGTGTGCGAGGCTGTTCAGCTTTCCCACAGCTCAAAGATGAGTTTTTAAAAATTAGACTTCATTTTCTAGAGCAGTGTGAGTTTTCATTTTTTTCAAGATTTTATTCTGTTGTTTTGTAGTTTCAATTGCTGTTTTTAAGCTCACTGTTTCCTACTTTAGTGTCTAGACTGCTGTTAATGCCATCTGACCTATTTTTTCACCTCAGACATTGAATTTTTCATCTCTAAAAGATGACTGTGTCTTTTGTATATTTTGTGTCCCCCCCGAACGTGCCCGTGTCCTTCTCCCTTTCTGAGCACGTGGGATGCAGTTACGACAACTGGTTTAATGTCCATATCTGCTAATTCTGCCATAGTTATTTTTTTGAGTTGGTTTCAACTGATTGCAAATTTTTATTATGGGTTGTTTCTCAGTTTATTTTATTTTTAGATTAGATACCAGACAGTGTGACTTTTACACCTTGGCGGGCTGGTGGATATTTTGACACTTTGGGAACTACGCTCAACCTTGTCTTGAGGTGTGGCTGCGTCACGTGCAGAGAGCTGACCCTTTGAGGCTTGCCGCCACTCTGTCAGTCTAGGGACATTTGCTCCCCACACCTCGGGCAACGGTCCATGGAGACTCCACCTGCGGGGCTGTGGGGACACCCAGGGGTTCTTTCTCAGACTCGGGTCTCAACCTTAGAAGCATGCACTGACGAGTCCTCACTGAAAACTCAAAGTGGGCGCTCTGTCCTTCCTGCTCCCTGAGGCTGTCAGCTGGCACAGCGGTGGCCTCACTCTCATTCCCTCTTTCAGGAATCACTGTTCTCTGCTGCCTGAGGCTCGAGGTCTGAGACTGTCGCTGCACGTATTGTTTTTCAGTTGTTTAAGGTGGGAATGGAAATCCAGACCCTGTAATTCCATCCTCGTTAATACGTGGAGTTAATATGTATAAAAAGATAATGATCTGCATTTAAAAATACTACGATCCAGCCAATCCAGAGCGGGACCCACCTAACCAGCAATACCCCCTCCTCACACCTAGCAGCAGGCAGTGGGAGGCGACGGGCGTTTTGCACGTGATACCACATCTGTCCAGTGACGACTCCTTTGCATTTTCAGAACAAAGCAGATCGGTCACGAAGCACACAGCAGGTGTCTGAAGGGAAACCTGCTGTTTCCTTTAAAAAAATCTGTGATCGTGTGGGCATTCTAAAACCATTATTTTTGCAGTTTTGAAGAGGGACTATAAAGTAGTAAGAGGATTTCTAAATATTAGACAATTTAAAAATCTGCATTTATTATAAATTTAGAACATACTCAAAAAAAGCAAATTCCAGCGGCACAGAATTACAGGTTATAAGCTCCCCCGTGGAGGGAGGATTTTCCTCTCACTGGAAACACACGGGAAACAACGCCACATCTAGCTTACTCATGGAGCTACACGGAGGGCACAGGACACCACACGCCACAGGCGCTGTGTCACTACTGCCTGAGACGGCCGTGCAAGGGCAAGCCGCAGGCCTGCAACGTGCACAGGGGTCACGATGCCCGCCTCTGCTGGGCGTGTGCTCTCGCAGGCACTTTCTGAGCACGTGTAATCACGCAAGTGCGCCTGTCTGTCTGAACGTACACAGCACCACACAGAGCCCACAGCCTCCCTGTGACTACTTCGGTTTCATTCCACCGTGGTTTTAGGTCGCCTGTGAACGACACCCCTCTCCCACCCCCATCCATCCGACCGCGCGCCCGGGACCCGTGCAGAAACGCCGGAGGCACCGGGCCGTACCTTGGAGGCGGGCGGTCCGTCGGTTTTGGCATCCTGTGCACAGTTCCAGCTGCGCGTCACTTGGGGAGTCTGTAAGATGACTTCTTCGGGGAACAACACTTGTAAAACAAGAAGATGAACAAGGGAGACGGTACTGAAAAGCTTTAGAAGGACAAACGGAGGCTCCTGCACGTTGGCAGCTGTTCAGGTCTCTGCCCCCGCCCCCCCGCTTCTGGCCCCTGGAGACTGCCTCTCCGCGACGGCTGATGCGTGTTCTTTGAAATGAAAGCCATTTATCAGTCTTCTTGTAAGCACAAAAATGAGTTCTATTATGAAGAGAAAGCACAGTGCAATGGCTTTATTTCCAATAATTATGGGTGCTATTTTTACGTAGTTGAAATAGCAAGAAAACGTGGAAACTTCCCAATAGCAAAAAAACACTGATATCACAGTTTTACATCCAATATGTGATTGAGGAAACTGTGTTTTACACAAAAATTTACATGAAGCTCATAAAAATGCTCCGAGAAGTGTCGCACTATCGTTCCACAAAACTATACCTTTCACACCTAAGTGGATGACTTGCTCAAGTGCAAAGTGGCACCGTCTGCTTGTGGTCCTGCCAGAGAGAAAACGGTGTAAGATGTCTCGCCTCGAGTTTAGAGGAGTTGAGGCTGGTGGGGGCCGCAGACCCTGAGCGCGCACCCGGAGTCAGGCGCCACTGTGACCTCCCCTGATGCTTCTTCAGAAGCTGGATGGGAGGCAGCGCGCACGCCCCGCAGGGCAGGGTCTTCACAGGGAGTCCTGACGCCGTGTGGAACGCTTTCCCCTTGGAATGTCCCTGCTTTAATGTTTAGAGCGAACTAGCAGTAAGAAACAGGAACCGCGCACATAGAGCGACAGGGAAGTGACCCTGATGAGGAACCGTTCCCAGGACAGTCACTGAAAACTATTGTTAGAAGAAATCGAGGCCTTTACAAAAGTTCAAGTTTGCCTGACTGGCACTGGGCTGCTCCCACATGCAGGTGGCCGGCAGCTCCCAGGGGACGCACAGAATGAGACTTTACAGTCGGAGGGGGAGGGGACAGGGGACTGGGCTAAAAAGGAAAATGGTTGTGGCAAGGTCACGTCCTTCAGGGGGCGTGAGTGCAGGGGCCTGTCAGGCAGGTGACCTTGCTATTCCTGCCCATTGGGCAAGCCCACCTGGGAGGGCTGCACGGGCTCGGCACAGCCACGCCATTGTGGGCCTGTTGTCTTGTCTTTTAACGCTACAAAAAGAATAAAACACGGAAACTAAAACTCTGTCTTCAGTGGAACAAAAAGACCAACGCTCCAAAGCCCAGATGGAGGAGGATGTCTGTCCCGTGGAGAGCATGTGGCCCCAAACCAGCGAAGGTGCCGGAGCTGACCCACGGCCCCCAGAGCCTGCTACACCCACGCTTCTGGAATGTTCCGATTCGGGCACCTGAAGGACCAGCTGACTGTTTCTCACCTGGATGACAGGATGCAGGGTGTGGGCTCTGAAAGCAAAGGACACCGTCGGGACCTGGTGGCAGGGCACGGAATCCCAAGAGGGGAATGTGAAGCCGGAAGAACGCGCGGGCACGGACCACCCCCAGGGAGCCTCGCACCCCCCAGGGTCCCCGGCACAAGGCTCCTGGCAGTCCCACTCTGTCCCCTCAACAGGAAGTGGCCTGGGACACAGCAAACTCCAAGATGAGGAAGAAGCAGAGAAGAACCCTCCTAGGACTTAGCAAAACTGACTCTAAGAAAGAAAAAAGACTTTCAGTGGATCCACTGGAGAGGAAGAGCTGGAAAGGGACCTAACGCTTGTCCCGCCCCTCCCCCCACTCCTCCCGTGGGCCTCTCACTCCTCCGTGCAGGGGACCCGATTTCTCAGTTACCAAATGTGACAAAAATGTGCCAAGCAAACAAGATGACCTCATTGACCTGCAGGTCAGCCCCTTGGCTCCAACAGCATGAAAACACAAATAAAATTCTTAGGAAGAATTCATCAAAAAAAAAAAAAAAATCATGGTTTTCATTCTGGGCTCACAAGGAAGGTTTGATATAAAGCTATTCAGTTGAAATGCTTCATCTTATGAATCGGCTGAAAAAAAAAAAAGATAACTATCTCAAGAAATGCCAAAAAGACAACGAGCATAAGAGCTTAAAGCAGAAATTGACGGATAATCCCTAACCGTGATTACGTATAAGGACAGCAAGATACTAAATGGTAAAATACTAGAGGTGCCTGCATTAAAATTCGAAATAAGAGAAAGACACAGAGATGAGAAAAAATAACAGACAGGGTGGGGATGGACGTTGCCACAAAGCAAAACTGCAAAGGGGGACAAGGGACAGGAGGAAGCGAGTAGGGAAACTGCTTTAAGTACCAACTGCAGCTGGAGGAAGCTCCACCCCGCACAGATGCCGGCTCTCCCGATGACAGCTGTGGCACCGCTGCACCAAGACGTGAGAAAATGTCGCTGCCTCACCGTCTAACAGCAAACAGCTGGGCTCCTCAGGGTCCAGCAAGAGGAGACTGCCTAAGGGACATAGGATGTGTCCCTTTGTAGGGTAACAGTCGTCAGCACCAAACCCTAAGTTACAAAAGCAGAAAGGCCTCAAAGCAATGGCCTGCGTGTCCACCATCAGAAACTGGGCAAAGCAGAGCGAACGGAGCCCAAATGAGCGCGAGAAAGAAGACAATGGTCCGTGAAACAGAAACACTCGACACATCGACTCGGCCAAGGCCGATTCTCTGATTAGGTCAGTAAGACAGACTGACGGCGGGAAGAGAGAAGACACAAATGACCGACATCAGGAATGAGAGGGGTGACATCAAGTATTAAAAGAACAATATGAACAACTTCATGCAAGTAGATCAGACAACTTGGGTGAAATGCATAAATCCCTTGAAACACAGCCCGCCAAAGCTCACCCTGCAGGAAACCGATGACCAGTGCAGCTCCTCACCTGTCACAGAGCTGAACCTGGTCGCAGAGCCCGTCCCGGCCTGAGGGCTCCGCCAATGCTTCAGGCAGAAGTAACACCCGCTGTGTGACTGCCCCACCAGACGGAAGAGGCGGTCCCACTCTGAGGCCGGCATTACCTGATACCCACATCAGAGAAAGGCATTTCAAGAAGTTACACACCAATACACCTCACACACACAGATGTAAAGTTAATAAAACGTGAGCAGCTCAGATCTAACAGTGTATGAAAAGTGGCTAGACCAGGGCAAAGCGGGTTTACTCCCATCGACGTGACTATCCTGACAGAGTGAAGAAGAGAAACCCCACGACCATCTCAACATACGAAAAGCGCGGACAAAACCCTGCCTGTATCTACTGCGGACTGAAACCCGCAGCGAGCGGGAGCCGTCTCCTCAGCCGGACCAAGGGGCCGCACGCGGGCCGAGGGCGGGACGCCGCGCCCCACCGCGTCTGCTCGACACCATCCTCCCAGCTCTGCCAGCGCAGCAGGGCAAGGAAACACACAGCTGGACACGCAGGAGACCCTACGCCACGCGTAAAAGCTACTGGAAATAACGAGTGAGTTTAGCAAGCTCGCAGGACACAAAGGCAACATAAATACTATCTACAAGCGACTGGTAATTTAAGCTGAAATTACTGTTTCTAACAGCATCAAAAATTTTTTAAAGAGTCAGGGACAAATCTGACGAAAGAACATGCAAAGCCTGTGTAGCGGAAGGCACGAAGCACTGCTAAAGGGGTGATGGGACACCTGAGCAGGTGCCGCTGGAGGACTGGGCTGGGACACGCAGTGCTGAGGTGTCGGTTCTCCTTAAATGGACCTAAGAACTCGACGCAGGCCCAGTCGAGCCTCTGTAGGCATATGTCGGCCGGACAGGCCGATTTAGGGTGCACATACCCAGCTGAGGCCCAGGGCAGCCCACAGCTCTGCAAGGGGGCGATGGGGAGCTGTACCGACCTGGTCTCAGACGTAGCGGCAGGGCTGTGCCGTGCTTCCCAGACAAGTGGTTCAGTCGTGGAGAATGGGGGTTCAGAAGCAGACCCACACGCAGGTCCACTGGTTTTCAGAAAGGTTTGGGGGTGATGCATTGGAGAAAGGATAGCCTTTTTAACAAAAGGTGCCAGGACAATGGACAGCCACACCCCAAATTAATTTCTACCCAAACCTGAGTCATTTGTAAAAATCAACCTGAAATAGATTATAGCTCTAAATGTAAAACATAAAGTTGCAAAATTTCTAGAAGAAAACAGGACAGAGTCTTCGTGATCTTGAGTTAGGCAGATTTCTTAAATACGTCACCAAAAGCATGAGTTGTAAAAGAAAAAAACCGATACAATGAAGTTCATTAAAATTAGGAACTTCTATTCTTCAAATGGCATTATTAAAAACAACGAAAACACAAGCCGGAATCTGAGGAAATATTTCCAGAAAACAGACTTGACACAGAACTTGCAGTGAGAACACAGTCTGTACATAAACTAAGAAAACGCAGGAATGGCAATGGAGCCCAGAAACGGGTGCCGAGTGCCAGGGGCCAGCAGAGACACCCCGCGTGCCGGGGCTGCGAGCGTGTGCGGGGCCAGGAGCCGCGGTCTTGGGAGCCCCCGCTTTGGAGACGAGTTCAGCATTTCTCGTGCAGCTAAGTGTCCGCCCACCATGGGGCCCAACTACGGCACCGCCAGGGCCACTGAAGGCAGACAGTTCGCAGACCTCCGTGGGCAGCACTCGGCCCGCTGCCCAGCCTCATTCTTGTGGACACCCCACCTGGAGCCCGTCCTGCTCAGGACGCGCTGTCTGCGACTCATGGGCACGGCACCCTGCCCTCTATCTCAGCTTCCCGGCTCCCGCCACTCTGGTCCCGGGGCCCACCAGTGTCCCTTGAGAGTGGCGCCCACGCCCACCAACCCCTTGCTTTCTCCCTGTGCCCCTTCCCTCCTGGGCTCAAGGCCCGGCCGCTGTCTGCCGACAGGTCCCTCCTGCACGGCCTCTGCCTCTTCCTCTCTGACAGGCCTTGCTCATCCCCTAGGGCGCAAGTCACAGGAACTTCCAGCTACACTTCAGCTCCGATGACTGCCCCGCCTAGGCTGTGCACCTGCCAGAGGCCGGGGCCAGAACTCGCTCCGGCGCCTTCACTCGGCATCACCCCTCCCTTCCCAGCCGCCCAGCCGTGTCAGTGGCTTCACACCTACTGCTCCGTCACAGCGGACACGTGCTCCCCCAGGACTTCGTGTCCCACCGGCTCTGCTTTCATAGCCCGATGACCTTCCAAAGGCGCCACCCCACAAGCCGCACTCCCTCAGCGCTCCCCACGTTGGCCTCAGCCCAGATACCGAAGACTTCAGCAAAACGTGGAACGCACCGATGTCGGAAACAAAGTGAGTCTGACCGAAAATCAGCACCTGTCGCTGCAAAGACCCCTGAAGGAGAGAAGATGAGCGATGAGCCCAGAGCAGGGACCCACGGCATGCATGTGGGATCGTCCTGCACAGGTACCCGGGAAAGGACTCACGCAAGCAACGGACACCGGCTCATGCCACCGAAGCAAGAGCGAGAATTCCTCAGACGAAGGAACTTTATGGGCCACAGACACGGGGCCTGCGCCTCACGAGCCGGCAGGAACTGGGCGCTGGGGGCCCGGAGCTGTCGCACGCCCAGCGGCGGGTGCACTTACATGTCGAGCTCGCCTAGTTTCGGGAGGATGGGGAGCAACTGGCTGTCATGAATGCTGATGCTGGGCGCGACCGATGCCACCACATGGAAGTGGTGAAACCGCCAGGCCCAACCACGGTCCACCTGACAGGCACAGCCGCACGCACACGTGGCTTCGCACACAAGAACGCAGCGCCAAGCACACAACCGAATCCGAGACTGTGTGCGTCTGCCACCGGGAGAGCAGGCGCGGAGCGGTGTGCTCACGGCCCACAGGACACTACACAGCTCGGGCAAGTTCCAGAGACACAACATCCTAGAAACTACAGGTGGAAGTTCACACCGATAAACGTCAGAGAACACGGTTTCCTCTGTGCGTGTGCGCGCGTATGGACACAGACACACAGACTATTTTTTTCAAAAAGGGAGCTATGAACAGGTGGCAGGGCCACCGTGCTCGTGATGTGATGGAGGGTGATGGCTACAGTGCGTCATGAACCAGGGCTCAGTGCACATACAGTCCTAAAGAGACCGAACGTGCAAGTGTCTGCAACTCTGGACCTTCCAATCTGTCCGATAATGAGCTGTAATTGTGTGTCACACATAGTGGCAGTGGGGCCCACTCAACATCTCAGCACGGCCCCTCCGGCCATGGTGTCCCCTTCCCACACCACTGGGTGTCGAGGGCTGACAGAGGGGAAGCCAGCCATGGGTCAGGAATGAAGACGCACCACAGGAAGAGTCGTTGCAAGCACTACCTGTTATACGTAAACTCCACATCCATAGGTTCAGAGTTATACGCTTGTTCAAATTCTGGATTAAGTTTAAGAGTTACATCTTCTTCATGAATCTGAAAAAGAGTTTAATTTCCACACTTTAGACTTAATTTCTTAGGACAATCTTCCGTCTGTATCTGGTGGCACTGCACAAAAATGCACCCTCCACGTCTGAGCTGAAACCCGGTGTGTTCCAGGCACACGTAACAATAATCAAACAGGATGAACTCACTCTGCTGTCCCATGGTGCCCGCCCAGGTGCACGCTCCCTGGACGCAGTCCACCTGGGCTCCGGGTGCATGGTGCACACTGTCATTGCCTCTAAAGGCCACCTCCCTCCCAGCAGTACAGGAACACAACACTGGGGCCTGGGTCAAAGCGGGGTCAAAGGCATTCAGAGAGACAAGGGGGGAAGTGGGGAGAACCCGCGGTGGAGGCAGAGGCGCTCAGGCCCGGTCAGGGCCGAGGGTGCGCGGGCACTGGAGTGAGATGCCAGGGCCGGGGCTGCGACTGGCCCGGCTCCAGATGGAGTCATCGGCAGACCCTGGGCAGTGGAGTCACCTGGCAGGGGTGGCCCTGCTCTCGGCAGAAGTGGTCAAGTCCCCTGGGGGCAGCCTGCAGGAGTTTGCTCCAGCTTCCCCAGAGGTGACGGTGACAGAAATGGGTAATGGAACTGTGGTCAAAGATGGCCGAGACGCAGGAAGCCAATCGCCAAGGGCGAGGCCAGCACGAATGGCTGTCAGCAGTGCACCCCACACTGCCACGTGTTTACAGAAACACGGAGAACAATGTAGATTAAAAATAACGGGAAGACAAAGCTAAATGAACACGAGAGCACGTAAAAATGACAGGGCAGGTTTAACGAGCCGGACTGTGCAGGAACGGAGCCGTGCTGACTGAGCCGCTCGGGGCTCCCAGTCACGTGCCCCTGGCAGACGGGGCAGCCCCTCTCAGAGGGGCCAGCACTGGGCTCAGCCTCAGGAGCCTCCTGCCCCCATGGCTTCGAGCGCTGTCCCTGGAGAGGGCACGGCTTGCCAGTAGGAATGACCCTAGTACCTGGTGCCAGGGCTAGCACACGGGGCCACCTCTCACGAAGACAGCACCTTGGTGACAGCAGGACGATGGCTCCCTCCGGCCACGCCAGCTGTGGGGCTGCCTGAGGGCCTCACAGTCCCTGCGCCCGCCCCGGCCTGGCTCACACAGATCCGCAGCCCAGTGACCTCTCCTCCAGCCACCAGGGTCAGTCCCGGCCTGGTGCCTGGGGTCCTGGCCACTTCTCCCAGTTCTGGTCCCAGGGACTCTGGAGGCAGAGCGGGTCTGCCTGCTGGAAGCGAGGTGGCCTGGCCATTTGGGCTCTCCCTCGGTTCAGGCCGAGGGACTGCTGCCCTCAGCCAGGGGGGCGGGCACCCTGCCACCACCAAGGGAGCTGGCCGGGCAGCAGGGCCTGCGCCTCCCCCAGTGGAGTCCCGCAGCAACTTCACAACTGAGTGCACCAGTGAAAGCTGTGGCCTCTACCCTGTCCTTCCCCGTCACACACTGCAGACAATGTCCTTCCCTGCCACACACTGCAGACAATGTCCTTCCCCGTCACACACTGCAGACAATGTCCTTCCTGCCCCCGTGATGCTTGGCACCCTGCAGAGGGGACTTTCTGATTCAGTCCTTGGTCACAGTCATGAGCTACTGCCGTGGCCCGCAGACTGCCTGGGGCCCGCGGGCAGTGTGCTCAGTGGCAGCAGTCCAGATGGTCCACCTGTGGCTGAGTTGCCTTCTGCAGAGCTGGGCATCAGTCAGGAGCCAGTTCCCCATAACTTCAAGCACAGAAGGACGCTCGCCGATACTGCGGGCAGAGGGGTGGCTTTTGGCTCCCAGAATCTGCACCCGAGAGCGTGGGCACCTATACCCGGGACCCTCTGGAGGTCACAGCGCAGCGTGGCCAGGCGGAGGAGGGTGGCAGTGGCATTGAGCACTGCGTGTGGCCTCTGGGGGTTGGGAGAAGGAGGAGAAGTGACACCGTCGTGACCCTGGGGTCTGTGGCACTTTTCTGCTGTTTGGCCTGCAAACCTGCCTGTCTTCCGAGCCTGGCCTGCCCACCTTAGTGGCAACCCTGAGCGCCGCCCACATGTCTCGGAGACACGCCTTCCACTTGTCAGCCCAACGGGCTTCGTGGGGGGCCAGCGTCCTGGCCAATGTCCCAGCCAGCCTGAACAATGAGGCTAAGAGCCTTGCGTGGGAGCGCCAGCCTGTGACTTCAGATGCCACCTCCTCCATCTCCACACAGTCGCGGTTTATGGGGAATGTCCCACTGCCCGACTTATCAACGCTCACCTTCCTCACCCCTGGGGAGCCCGCCAGTGCTGGCCCTGCCTGCTCCGTCCTCAAGGGAAAGGCCAGGGCCTGAGCTGGGCCCACTAACAGCACAGCCTGGTATTCAGCTGCAGACTGCAGAAAATGTGGCAGCGAGGGTGCCACATCCCCTCTGCAGCCCCCTCAGTCAGGGCCTGGCAGTCTCTCCTAAGTTTTCCACGTGGGTGTCAGGTGGCCTCCGTCTCTCCCGATCCGCAGATCCCCACCAGCCAGGGCCCGGCTCGGGTGGGAGCGCGACCAGCCAGAGGAGACACCAAGCCACGCAGTGTGCCACACGGTGCACCCGACAGCGCGGGAAAGGCAAAGCGGCAGCCAGCGCCGCAGCCCCTCCCTCCCGCACCAGCCAACACCTGCTCCAGCCCACGCAGGCAGCAAATGCCACGGCCACAGGCCACGCATTGGGGTGCACGCGCTCCACACGCTGGGGGTGCACGCACTCCCCGTGGCTGGGGACTACAGAGTCCCTTTAGGTATGAAGTCCCCTTTACACATTGCATTCGCTTAAATATTCACTTTAGACTTTCCGAAGCAGCGTCAACACGGAAGGGAGCACCCCAACCCCAGCGCCCGCGGCGGCCGTGCACCTCTGAGACGCTCGTCCTCCCGCCCCACGCTCACTGATGGGTGCGGCTCTCACCTCGGTCACGTAGCCGATGTACTCGATGGCATGTCCGTTGTACTCCTGAGTTTTTAAAATCAGTTTATCACCTGTTAAAAATACATCCCCACACGTAAAACTGACGAGTCAGGAGCGGTGCCGAGAGCTGCAGAGGCAAACGCTCTGGAGACGTGAGGGGAAGCGCTCCTGGGTTTGGCGTCCGTGCGACAGGGCAGGGCGCGGGGCGCGTGCAAGTCGCTGACGTCCTAACCCCGGCGGGCGCCGCGCACACCCACCTGCGTACAGAGAAGGCCGGCTCTCCGCCAGCCCGGGGACCTCCAGCACCAGCAGGTCCCCGTTCCTCTTCAAGGTGACCCCGCTCATGTTGTACTCCTTCAGCTCTATCTCCGCGTGGATCTCCTCCAGCCACAGCAGGGTGGAGAACTTCTCCTTGTAGTTTGACATGTTCAAAAGCTGAAGCGCCCAGCAAGTTAGTGAGAGCGGAAGACTGTGTCTCGCCACCCGCCACCCGCACCCGGGACACAGGCCGCCCACTGTCACTACGTCCTGGCTGCTGACACCGAGCACACGGAGGAAGCAGCAGCTGCATGGAGACCCCCGGCCGTGACACAGGGGCCTTGCGGTCTGGGAAGCCATCTGACTAAGCCAGGCAGCTGCCCCATGTCCACCTGGGTGGTTCCCAGATCCTGGTGGGAAGGGCAGTTGGGGGTGCAGGCCCTGCAGGGCGGTGGCGGAGCTGGGGGTCCAAGGAGGCCCCCGTGGCGGTGGCCGCCGCGGCCAGGCAGCCAGTGTGCCAGTGTGGGCACTACAGGCCGGGAGGCCCGGCGATGGGGCCGCAGCAGGTCCCGCAGCCTGGCCCTGCAACCCCTGGGCTGTACCGCTGACAGTCTGGGGTCAGGGGGCATCCTGAGTACTGCAGAGTATGTAGCAAAAGACTCATCGGTCACAAAAGGACGCAAGTGGAATCATAAAAGGCAGAAAAAAGGAGACATATAAAACAAACCACAAGAGAGCAGGTTTAAATCGGATCCTGTCGATACAACACTAAGCTGTTGGAACACACAAGGAAAAGGCAGAGGCTGGCAGACGGATCGGAGGGCACGGCTGGTGGCTCCTGCGAGAAGCCACTTGAGAGAGACACGCGGGAGGCTGAAGCAAAGCGCGGGAAGGCCAGCACGCTGATGCTAGCAAAAGCAAGCCACGGAAGCCACGCTGTCATACAGAAAAGGTTCCAGAGCACAGAATGTCACCAGAGATAAAGCGAGACAGTTCACGTTCATAAAAGAAGCAACCAGGATGACATAATAACCATAAATGTTTATGCTCCCAATCACAGAGCTGCCGCACAGGACACAAAGACCGAAGAACAGCAGGGAGAAACAAACATATACTTACAGTCAGAGAATGACACTTCTGAATCCGCAGTCTACACGACAGGCAGCACCGTAAACACACAGACTTCACCCACCCGCCCACCAACCAGCCGACCCGACGCTCACAGAACCGCCAACAGCCGCGGGACGCACGTTGTTCCCGTGTCACAAGGAACACTGACCAAAACGGGCCATGTTTTGGACCGTGAAACAAATGTCAATAAACCTAAAAGGTTCAGTTGTACAAACTATGTCTCCTGACCACAGTGGAATTAAATCAGAAAACAGAAAGATTTCTGGAAAAAACCCCAAATGTGTGAAAACTAAATAATCACTTTAAAACAACCTAGGAGTCAACTAAGAAATCGAGAAAAAGTTACAAGGTATTTTGAACTAAGTGAAAATATAAATACAACAAAGTGAAATTTGTGGAATGCAGCTACATAGTACTTAAAAGGAATTCATCACACTAAAAATCCTGTTAGGAAAAACAGATGTCAAATCAATGACTTTAGTTTCCTCCCTTTAGAAGTAGAAAAAACGAATCAAACCAAGGAAGCAGAAGAAAGAAAATTAACAAAAATCTGAATGACAATGAAAAAGAAACAGTAAAATAGAGAAAAAAAATAAAACCAAAAGTTGGTTGAGATTAATAAAAATTTATGTCAGGAAAAAGACGTAAATAACCAATATTATAAATAACTTTGTGCAAATGGACAACTAAGTGTAACAAACTCCTTTAAAGATAAAACCCACCACACCTCCCTCAAAAGAGAGAAACTGAATTGCCCTATCACTATGCAAGAGCTTGAACTCTTAATTAAAACTCTCTGTGAAGAAAACCACAGACCCCAGTGCCTCGCTGGCAGATTCCATCAGGAGCTCCGCATGGACTTCTCTGGACAGCTGAGAGGAGGGGCAGGTCCCAAAGCATCTGTGAGGTCAGCACTATGCTGGGATCGGCCGGACAGACATCACAGGAAAACTGCAGACCAACGTCCCTCGTGAACACAGTCTTAGCCAATCGAAGCCGACTACGTGCACGTGGGTGTGCGTACACACACGCGCGTGGCAGCGCCATGGCCACGTGGAGTTTCGCACAGGAACACAGGTCGGTATCCAGACGTGAAACCGACCAGAGTAACTCTTACGTTCGCAGACCAGGCGGTGAGAGCCACACAGTTTTCCGGTCTCCTGGCTAGAGGCAGGGAGAGCACTGGAAACCCACGCGGGGTCAGCCCCGCGGTGAACGCGCTGCACCCACCCCACCCCAGGGAGGCCCGGCCCCGCGGCACCCTGTCTGCACTGTCCTGGCTCCTGGCCCCAAGTGCAGGTGAATTTCCACGTTTGTCTCTTCTCATTTAGCATCAACAAGTGAGCGGGGACAAACGGATGTGGTCAGAGAACTGAGTACACAGCAACAAAAAGCTGGATTATTGACAAAACATAGATTACGTCTTTCTTACCACGCTGTAGCAAACGTGGTGGGTTAAACACATAATTCTACTCTGCTGGGGGTCAGGAGTCTCAGCTAAAATCCAGGAGCAGGCAGGTGGTTCCTTCGGGAGGCTCCGGGACGGTGGCCTTGGCCTTCTGCAGCTTCTGCAGCGCCCCTGCCCTAGCTTGTGGGCCCTCTCCACCTCCAAAGCCAGCCCAGCAATGGCGCCTCCTCCCAGCTCTGGCTCCCGCCTCCCTGAGGGTCCTTGTGGTTCTACCGGGCCCTTCTCCGCAACAACCCAGGAACCTCAACCTCATCCCACCAGCCACAATCCCTTTGCTGGGTGAGGAACAGTCAGTCACAGGTCCTGGCATATGGCATGGACCCCTACGGGGGCCGCTGTCAGGCCACCACACAGGTAGAAGTCAAGCAGTCACGCTGAGGGGAGGGAGCCACATGCCAGAGGGGAGCACGCACCGGGAGCCTCCATCTCCCAAGAAGTCCAGGGAAGGAAACTGGCTGGTGACAGAGAGCAGATCAGTGCTGCCAGAGGCGGAGCACCAGGCAGGCCGGGTGGACACGTGCAGTGCCGCCGTGGCAAGGCTGGTGGCTTGTGCCCATTGGCTCCCGGGTGGGGCAGTGGGGGAGCTCCGAGCTCTCACGGCGGAGGCCCTGGGCAGCCTCGAACCCTACAGCCCTTTACAAGTTTACCGCAGCTGGACAGAGCATGCTACACTCTCCTGGTGGCCCCACATTAACGAGGGCGGCCCTCAGCACTGGGCCGAGTTAGACGAAGCTATGCCAGCAGGCTCACCATGCACATGGAAGCCATGCTGCAGTAGCCTCCGCGCCTCGGCCTCCTCCTCGACCAACACGGGCTCAGGACGGAAGGCCACACAGCGCTCCGGGCCGCACTGAGCCTCCCTGCCCTCCGCATGGGCCAGTGTGGCAGCACGATGGACTGCCGCCCGAGTCACCGGGCTGCAGCACCCGCTGTCACAGCAGACCTCGTGCTGCCTCCTGGTCGAGGGCAAGCCGTCCGCAGAGCGGGATGCCCTCACCCAGCTTCCCCCAGGCCCCGTGCTCTGCTGGCTCGTGCCCTCAGCCCACAGGCCCAGGCCCTCACTCCTCCTCCAAGGGGGCAGTGGCCTCCTGGGGACAGGCAGCCCGCCCTCTCCCTCGCCTGCCAGTGCCCTCCCAGCTTTGGCCTCTTCCCACGAGTAGCAGATGAACCTGAGCACCCAGAGGGCCTGACACAGCCCAGAGAGGGTACGGGGGTTGGGGGGGCGCCCCGGGCGAAGCCGTGTTCCAAACACTCGTCTGGCTGCTGCGGGTCTTTCCCACAAACACGTCCCCCTCGGCTCTTGCACTGAGCTGCACTTTGCCGGGAATGGAAGCTGCTGTGCGGCCAGCCCCGGCGAACAGAGAGGCTGGGATGGCGGTGGAGGCACCCCCTCCCCGCTCACAGCCCAGCACGAGGGGCCCCCTGGCAAGCCCTGTTCCCTGATCTCTCAAGGAACACAGCCTCGCTTCTGTCGCATCGCCCTCAACTTCCCAGCTGCCTGTGGTAAAAACAAGCCAGTCTGAGGTCTGACCCTGAGGCGGCTTCTCTGGATTTTGCCAGAGAACATACGCGTGGTTACGGGTCAGCGTTTCACATCAGATGGTTTTCCTACCTCTGCCAGTAACGGCTGGAAAGTCAGTATGTCGATTTTCTGTTCCACACATTTTTTAAGTCTATCTGGTATTGGATACTGTGGGAGAAAACTCGGAAGCTGTCGTCTTGAGTTCCTTAAAAAAAAATTCAGAAATTAAAACCGGTTCTTACTCAGACATTTTATACAAGACATTTTCATTTAGCCTTTCCTGTCTGAGAAAGACCAAAGTTCACTCAATCCAAAAATAACCGACAGAGAAACTGCTGGCCTAAGTCAGCAATTTGTCAACGTTTATTTTAGCTTCAGGGTCTCCCCGTCCACCAGCTGTCACTGTCCGCTGCTGTCCACACAGTGGGGAACAGAGTGGCCTCATCTATAACAGGAGGAGGGGCCGGACGCCCAACCTCCCAGAACCAGTGAGTTTGAACAACTGTTCTCAAGCGTTGTTCCTGATGAGGGCGTGACCGCCACCCACCATGGCCACATGCTGCAGGTTCAGTCCCCCCTGCCCAACGCTCTGCCTCTTCCGGTGTCACCAAGTCAGCCACCAGCAAGAGGAGCATCACTGCTGAGTGCCAAGTCTGACTGGCACCAGAAACGGCGGAAGATGAATGGCTGGGAGGAGAGAGACCGGGAAAGGAGAGGTGCTGAGGTGTCTAGTGAGGGGCGGGAGGTGCGCCCTCACGAGAGAGGCTGTCCCCACACAGTGAGTGGGGGCAGGCACGAGGCACTGCTCGAAGTCCAACTCTGCTCACGTGTCTGAGCACCGAGCGGGGGAGTGCACCCTGCCTCCTGGTCCCACAAACCATCACCGCGTATGTGGGTTCCCTTAGCTCAGCTCTGTGGCAGAAGCACCCCCAGGAAACCCCAAGGCCACAGCAGCACCGGGGGGCTGGCACCGAGACAGGACACCTCCCTGCGGGCTCGGGTGCGGGTGGACCGGAGCACCATGGGAAGGTGTGCGGGAAGCAGGAGCATTCAGGGGAGCTATGTGTTCACGGCCACCACGAGCAAGAGGGAACAGCCCACCAACTCACCCACGGCCATGAAAGGCTGAGAGCACCGTGGGAAGGTGTGCGGGAAGCAGGGGCATTCAGGGGAGCTGTGTGTTCACGGCCACCACGAGCAAGAGGAGGGGACAGCCCACCAACTCACCCACGGCCATGAAAGGCTGAGGGCGCAGACCCCGTCTGCTCACGGCCTGGGGCGGCTGGAACCCTGGCTGAGGAGGTACTGCACCGTGCGGTCCTCAGCAGGCTGGCCGGGCGAGCACAGGGACACTGTCTTCTTGGAGGGAGCAAGCACAGGGCAGCCGCACCCCAGTGGGCCACATCGGCCTAAGGCAGATGCAGACGCTGGGGTTCCAAGCACGTCTGATCCGACCAGGACAGGCACTCTGTGTCATTAACTTCATGACAGGAAACACTGCTCGTTTCAGAGATGCTCCCACACGGTGACAATAACAGAGCAGGGTGTCGGTCTACTTCGCTCCTCTAGTTAAGCCAAATTATCCGAACAAGGGATGAACAGGACAGCCGGGGTCGGAAGCCCCAGCAGGGAGCCCTACCAGCCGGCTGCTCCCCCCGCTGCAGCCACACTACCTTCTGCTCCTAGAGCCGGGCCGCCCCCAGGGCACGTCCCTTCAGTGAGCCCAGACCCTCGCTGATTGATCGTGGCTGACTGCTCAGTGCCAGAAAGCACACGTCGCAGACCTCGTAATCACGTGAAGGCGGATGTACCTTTACAAACGGGACTGAGGCTCAGAGATCCAATCTTCCTTCAGCCAGCACGTAGAAATCCACGATACTTTACCTCACACGGTTCTGGGCACTGCCATTTGGAACTGAGGGTTCCCGGTGTTAGAGAGATGGCGTGTGTCCCCCAGCTGGCTCTGAGCGGTCCCCTACTAATCCGCCGTGACTGCGGCTGAGGTGAGCATCCAAGACGAGGCCGTGAACCACCCTCACGTTCCCACACGCCAGATTTTTTGGCACCAAACGTTAAACATAAATCTGCTTTTCAGAGGTTTTTGACCTGTAGCATTCTTACGACATCCCAGCTAAAGTCTGGGTGGTCCCCAAGTCTCCCAGCCACATGTCACTAGCAGACCGCAGTATTATTTTTCTTAAATTTCATTCTTCACAGGTGTCCCATCTTCAAATGGGCTTTGAGTGGCCCACTAACCCTGCCGCCTCACGAGTGCCACTCAGGTACTGTGGACAGCCCCAAAAGCCATGCGCACCCCATCCCGTGGACCCCCACTGGCGGGTGCCACTGGCTCCCGTGTGGATGCGGGTGTCAGATAGGTGGGGCTGTTGGGAGTGCGAGGTGGTGGGAGCCCAGGACCAGGGTCCCCATGAGACCAGAGAGTGCGTGGCGGCCTGGGGTGTCGCAGGCCCCCCTGCCCAGCCCACCTCAGAGACGGGGCATGCGGGCTTCGTGCAAACACACCCGTCCCCAAATGCGACGATGGAGCGCGGCTGGCCCGTCCCCGAGCTGTCCCCACAGCCCGGCGCGTGTGCTCTGGTCTGGCTGTCTTTGCAGGGCACGGTACCTTTTCTGTGTGGTTACGACAACTGTCGTCGTTTTCGTGGGAGCCAGTGCCTGGGGACTTTTAGACTTCTTCCAGGAGAAGGGCTCTCGGACGGCTATGAGCGACTCTGGCCCGCTGATGACACTCACGTCCAGGAACCGGCCGACGACGAAGCTGGAGAAGCAGAGCAGCAGCAGCTCCCTGCAGCGGCCAGGGCTCCTGGAGGACAGGGCGCGGTGCAGTCAGGCGTGGAGCAGACCGGCCCCGCGCGGTGGCCTCAGAGTTCACAGTGGCCGCCCTGAGTTTTCAATAATCCCTTTCACGGGGAAAACAGGCTCTCTATAGCAAGCAACGCAGTGTCTCCCCAAGACAAAAACCAAGCACGCAGAGCCACCCGTCTTGTCGTTCCCAAAGTCAAGGGCAACAGGAGAAACGCTTTCGGTGTGCCCCAGTTTAAATCGGGGTGGCTGGACACGACACCAAATGCACCTTTTGTTCTTGGCTGCCTGTCCAGCTCCTGCTGCTGCACCGACCCCGGCCACCGCACACACCTATGGCCTGCACTTGTCTCTATGTCAGCACGTTTAAAACGACTGTGTAAGGTGGCCGTGCCACATGGTGCTGACTGAAGGACTCTTAAGTGGTCCCCCCTGTGGTTTGATACTGATGGCCTTAAATAAGGCTGGGATTTACTTGGACCCATGTTTTTAAAATGATTTAGAATAAATTCAGGTAATAGACGAGACGGAAGAGAAAGCCTGTAGCCAAAATACCAACTGACAGGTGAGCAGCAGGCGGAGGCGGGGCTCTGGACAGAGGGGAGGAGGCACAGCCGGCTGGCGTGTCTGGGCCGCCACAGGGGAGGGGCCGTGAGGGGCGGAAGGATATCAAGCAGAGCTGAGGGACGAGGGCAGGAGGACGCGGGTCGGCTCCAATAGAGTCCCCGCTCTCACTGAGAAGTCAGGGAGAAGGGGTGCGGGCAGCTGCCAGGCTCAGGAAGCCGTTGCCTCTGGAGGATAAACTCATTCAAGCCATATTCTCCACCAACGCTTTTTTTACGATTTTGTTCCATCGAAGGAGCTACTGAGTACTGTTTATGACACCTAACCTAGAAGGACCACTCATGGAACCTAAACAGATAACTGTACAAATGTCCCCAAGGCAAAGTCTCCAAACCCTCTAGCCACGTACTTGGCATCACAAATGATCACAATCGCAACTTTTCCACCTGGAGGGATGAGCCCACCGGGTTCGGGCTCTGTCACCTGCTTTCGTGAGACACTCTGTTCTTTTTCTCCATTTTCTCCTTTACAGGAACTGTCGTCTGGGAGATGAAATGTAAATCGCAAGTCAGCCCCAAAGGTGCAGTGGTTCTGACAGCGGCAGCACGCTGACAGCGCGTGCGCACGGGGCGCAGCGCCAGGTGGGGACGGTGGGCGTGCCAGAAGCACGTCCAGGTGCTCCTGCTTCTCTCGCAGCCCTGGAACCTCAGAGAAGGTCCAGAACCCAGGAGCTCATAGCACCAGGGGCCATGGTGGCCGGACTGTTCCGGCCGCTCGGCCCCCACCCAGGCCCCACTGCCCCCAGCCCCCCGGAGCTCACAGGCTGCTGACCTACGGCGGCAATGGCTAAGACACCTACCTGGGCAGACCTCTCTGTCACCTGGCAGGCCGCTGTCCAGCACCTGGTCGGCTCTGTCCTCTCCGCAGCCACCTAACAAGCTGGCACTGTCACCTGAACAGCCCATCTCCTCCGCGGAGCCAGAACCGGAGCATGCCGTCGGGCATGGCTGGCCTCCGCGCTGCGCCTGAAACCTGAACTGTCTGGCTCTGTCCCAGCCAGCCAACTTGCAGCTGACCAAGTTCTGTGGCACGCCTCCTTTATTCCTGGACAAAGAGCGCCAGCCATGAGTGCGCAGAACCAACATGGAGACATTCAGTTGACGCAAAACACAGACGCCAATGTGACTAGTGAATGGCAACTGCAAATACCTTTACGAGTATGAACAAAAAGAAAATGCTGAAGTGAAAAATTTCAAAAAATGCTCATAAAGGAAAACACTGGGCCAAGTGAAGTGGGCTCTACAGAATTTCTTAAATCGTAGCTTAAAAACCGTCAGCATGATTGACTTTAGCGCAAACTTACTCTATCCAGATCACCAAGCTCTTACTTCGTCCTTCCTCTAGCGTTCCAAAATGCGTCATCCTCGTCACTTCAACGTCGCCTTTGTCTTTCAGTAAGAGGGCCCCACAAGCCTCATCGGCAGCCTCTGCCACGGTAGAGGCGGAGTTGTCTCTGGAGAGAGCCCCACAGACAGGTCACTGTCACCAAGACACTGCCCTGGAGAGGCTGCCTCCCGAGGCACCGCCACCTCCCCGCCGGGGCCCGCTACCCTGGCCGCAGGACAAGCTGCTGGCTGAGAGACAAAAGTCGACCCCCAGAAGTGACCAGAACTGATCCAGGGACCCTCCAACACTCAGGGCCTCAGAGAAGACCAGCCCTCATCTCTAAGAAAATGACAAGCCCTATAAACTCCAGAGAGGAGGCGATGGGAAGGTGGCCCCTTCAAGGAGGTCCCGATTCCGAGAACACAGCAGGGACCCGCTCCACCAGCAGCACCTTCTCCAGGCACACCAAGAGGGGGCTCTCCCTCCCCTCGTCACAAAAGGAGAGGGTGTCCAGTGTCCTCCCGGGCTGCTGGGTAGGGGGCTCAGGAGAGCTTTGCTTCATAGGGACTCATAAGCCTTCATTTGGAAAAAGTCCTGTTGCTTCAGAAAACGTAGGAACGAGGCACGAGAACCACACAGACTGACCCGACATTAAACCAGGCTGTGCCCCGAGCCTGCCACGGGAACCTGGCTGATCGGCGCATGGCCAGACCCCGGGAACCAACAGAAGGCTCCAGCTGAGGTCGCCACTGATACCCCGTGCCCCTGAGCTGCATGTGTCCCGGAAGGAGAACAGGTGTAGAGGCTACCGCTCCAGCGCCCAGGGGTCATCTCTGGCCCTGGGAGACGGTGCGCTGTCTGCGGGGGGCTCTCCCTGCTCCATCTCACCTTTGTCTCTGGCTCCGGCTCGCACTTGAATTCTTTCCTGCACGGAGTTGAGGACCCTCTCTTGGGGGTCTAGGGCCCCCCGCTCGGGGGATTCGCCCCTTCCTGCTTCTAAGGTGCCTGAGAAAAGCTAACAGGGAAGCTTCTCTCTTTAGAAAATGGGGCTTCACTCTCTCCTCGGCAGGGACCTGTGTGTCCCCTTGCCCTGCTGATGGCGCTGCGGGGCCCGGCTTGCTGCCCACCGCCCACCGGGCGCCGTCTCCAGAGGGCACAGCCGCACACGCCCCTCTTGACGCAGCTGCACAGGGTGGGCCACCAGAGGTAAATTCGCTGGCGCTTCTGGCCCTGACCACATACTCACTGACACGCTCAACACCTCAGTGACCCCTTCTCAGCCGGCTGCTGCCCTCAAACTCCTCCTGTGTACACTCTCCAGCCTCAGAGCACCCTCCAGACCGGAGTGGGGGCAGCGGTGGGGATGGCTGGGCCTCGGACCTCGCGCCCAGTGGACAGCACCTGCTGACGGCTGGGGTGTGAGCCAGACGAAGGAGTCACAAGCGTGGTGCAGGTTTCTGGTTCAACCCCCAGAAGTGCAGCCAGGGAAGGTGGCGGAGACGCCGGGTCTGGAGCAGAGCGGGGACACAGCCCGGGCGTGGCCAGCACTGGCTGGTGGGTCTGTGGAGTGTGGACGGGCCCGTGGGACAGCAAACATGCTGCCAGGCCCGAAACGTGGCCCTCTGTCCTATGCCATCGCTGAGCCTATGCAAACTCCGGCTGCAAGGGCTGAAGGCTCAGTGGCTGTGAGCGCCCCTGGACCCCACAAAGTCCCTTCCTCCCCTCGCCCCCAAACGCCTACTCTGACGGACAGACGAGGAGGAATTCTGGATCTGCAGTGTGTGGGTCTGGCTCATGGCCAGCATCCAATGCTGAGGGTGGGGGTACACCCACTGTCCGGTGAAGATGGCCATTTGAGGCAGACAAGGGAGGTGCCTCATGGACCAGGCCTGGGACTAGGCCCCCTCCCCGGGGATAACCAGCACCCCCATGGGACCCCAAGCCCCCTGCAGCTCCCCCGGAACAGGCCACCTACAGGCAGGAGCCGTCCTGTCACGCCTCACCCACGCCACTGCCCCTGGGCCGCCGCGCCTCCCGGACGCACAGCCAGCTGGCAAGTGGCAGAGTGTTTGGGAGCTAAGTGCTGGGGCAGTAGCATCCAGAGGACGCAGCAGCCCTGAGGCCCAAGTGACACCACCCTCGCCCCAGCGGTCGGTGAGGCGGCATGGGGATGAGGCTGCGGCGGGCCAGCATCAGGCCTCCAACACAGGGCACTGCCCACTGCTCTGACAGAACCCCAGGTCCACGCGACACAGAGCCGATGCTCGACGTGACGGGAAGTGGAGCATGGCAGCCGCATTTCCATGAGCGGAGATGACAAACAGCAGTGAAGGACAACACAGGGCGGGAGCTGATGCTCGACGTGACGGGAAGTGGAGCACAGCAGCTGCATTTCCATGAGCGGAAGAGATGACAAACAGCAGTGAAGGACAACACAGGGCGGGCTCACTGGACACAGGGCCAAAGAGGACAAGTGGGCCAGGGGGTGGAGACAGAGCAGGGCCGCGTTAAGGGAAGCTCGTCACACTCTGTGACACGCCTGCAGTGGGGAGGCCACCAGGGGCCGAGGGAAGATCACGCGTGACACGGCAGTTTGGCCCTTTTAAGAACTTCCTGTCAGTAGGCACTAAAAACGCCACACGTTTGAGGACAGAAGACACAGAAATGCACTGCAGCGTGGGGACCGCCGACACGGACTGAGGATGGGGAGTGGACCTCCCACTCGCCCTGCGACCAACCATGAAGACCGCGGGGACCCTCCACACGACCCTGCCTCCAGCCACCCACCCGACCAGGGCTCGGGCTTGGCCTAGCGAGGTTCCCAACCATCACCGACAGCGCCCCAGCCGGAGCGAGCCGGTCCCTCCTCACCGCCTGGTCACCGGCGTCATGCAGAGGGCTCTCCAGACGTAGCAGGACTGGCTGCTCTCTACCACCAGGGCGCGGACCACGTCGTGTCTGCGAGGCACGTAGCCCTCTGGCAGCTTCAGGGAGTCCAAGGTGAAAAAGATGCAGTCGTCTATCACCCCGTTCCTCCCGCAGAGGCTGGACACGCAGACCTGCGGCAGGCGGGCACGCGCCCCGTCTGAGCCTCACGCAGCCTGGCCTGGCTGAGACAGCCCACTGCCGCGCGCTGGGCACCCCTGTCCTGCAGAGGACTGAAGGGGACCGGGGACCTGCTCTGGGAGGGGCGGTGCCTTGATGGTTACTAGAGCTGGGACCTCGGGCCAAGGCTGAGACCCCGCTGGAGGACTGGGGGGCGTGGGGCCCGGAGTGTGGCCTTTGCTTCTCTGGCTCAGCCCCCTCCCCCTGCCCAGTTCTCCCTGTGCCCGAGACACGCCCTGCCACGCGCAGGACCGTCTCCACACTTCCGTGCACACCACGCAGCTTAGCTGAGAGCTGGCGAGGCCAGTCTCCAAGGGTCCCCTTGGGGAAACAGCGTTGTTGGTAAGAAAACAGTCTTTTCTGGCCCAGACTGAACTCGATCAGAGCCCCAGATCCTCAAGGGGAACGCGGGGACAGAGGGCCAGCACCTACCCGGTCCACGCGCTTGTACCTCAGCGGCTTCACGGACACGGCCTCGCTGCTCCAGGTGCCCGGCCGGATCCAGTACTCGGCCTCCACCCAGTCTCCCTTGCACGGCTCGAAACCTCCAGGGAGGGAAACTGTGCGTCACTCGGACGCTCTGACTCCACGGTGCACGGGCCACTCTCAGGGGGCGACGTGCTGGAGTCCCCCACACTCTGCTGAGATATCAGGACGAACCACCCAGCCTAAGCGCCCCCG